TTATATAAATTCACAAACATGTTATGTTAAAGAATAAGTTGTCAATGAAATGCCTATGACCTTTTGAAATAATTCCAGTTAATAATTATCTGTTTTTCTTGATAGGAACAAGAGAGTGAAGGAGAAACATACGAAGACATGTATGCATTGCATTTGTTACCATAAGCATTTTCTTCTAACATGAATACAATGTTTTATAAGAGGGAGTATGGGCATGCAAAAGCACTGGAAGAAAAGTCTTTATTTACACAAATGGTTGGCCTGTAATGACATCCCTTATTTCACTACAAAGGACTAAAATTGGTTTACTTCTCCAAGGATTCTACACAGGACTCTGGTGACAAACTGCCATGTGAGACAGCAAGCTACTTGAAAAAACAGTCAGGGACTAGACTCAAGAATCTGCTTTTCCCCTCTCAGTATCGAGGGACTTAATTTACTGTGTATTAGACCTTATTCACTCAGACACTCAGGTGCTGTGGGCCATGGCTAGCACCCTTATGCCCATGTTCTAGTCTGCTGGATAGACATGAAAAATGACTCCACAACTCATGTTCAAAATAGTCTGAGAAATTTCTTGGAAATTGAATGAAAATAGGAGTAATCTTATTCAATCAAATGCTGAGTTCAGGTGTCTTAATTTTCTACCTAATTACTCAACCAGTTCTAACTAACCTCTACATTAAAATTAATACCAGTGCTTGGGAGCACATGCTCATGCATGCCCATGGAAGTGAGAGGAAGAAATGCCAAAAGGTCATGAGGATGGGGGGAGGGGCTTCTTTGTGGTGTGCATTGCATTTCAGGGGGAAGGAGCTGGGGCTGCCAGGGAACATATTTGTAGTTGTGGGCCTCCTTCTGTCTATACAAATCATTTCATACACCCAGAATGTTCACAACTTTAGCTTCTTGCCTCCATCTCTTCTTCAGAAACCTTCTGTAGTGGGTAGAGACCTCTCTGCGTAGTAGTTCCTGATAAACAGACACCTGCACATTGTAGCCACAACTTAACAATTTCTATTCACAGAGAATCATCCAGAGAACGAGACAAGAAACGGGAAAAGGAGGAAAAGAAGAGGTTAGAGCTAGAACGGAAGGAACAGAAAGAAAAAGAGAAGAAAGAACAAGAACTAAGGAAGAAATTTAAGGTAAGAGCTTGCTTACTGAAGAGGAGAGAGGTGGCATCATTTTGAACCTTTTCAATGTAACTACAAAAATTTACGAAGTTCCAGAGTATTTGTAATCATTGTTTTGAAACAATGCTTTTTTTGTTGTTGTTCAATACACTACCTTATCTCTACCACCAAAAATGAAACAGGATAAAAAATCCAAATAAAATTTAACTATCTTATAACTGGTGGGTTCCAGGGATTTTATGTTGATTGAGGAAATGAATACATCATCACTGTGTGCCTTGCATCTGGAACGTCACATAACAGAGCAATGGGCATAGTGTTACTGGATGAAGCACAATTCCTTTGAGCCATTAGAGATGGTGGAATCTGGATCTGAATTACATGTTTGCCTTTAAGACTTGTACTTGCTGATTTCCAAGACCCACTGTCTCTCGACCCTCTTTAAAATGTCTCAATTTCTGACCTTTATCTTCTCTGATTTTTGGTAATTTTATCACCTCTATTGCTACCACCACTGCCCTACATACACAGGTTGAACTTTCTTAGCTATACCATATTCAATGACATAACTCACCTGGTATGTTCTGGTGCCTCAGAAGTATTTGGAGTGATGATCTGAATTACAAATGCATTCTTCACTTTTAATGAAATTCATATTTTATTATTTAAATATTTATTTCTCTAGAGGATTTACTACATGGAATTACAAACTATGACTCATGTATAACTTCCCGGTACATTTATTCTGTTAAAACAAAAGTTCAGCAGTATGATGTAAGGAAAGTATCCAACTTGGAGTCATTTGGATAGTTGTAGATTCCAATTCCAGCTGCACATACAAATTCTGTGCTCTCGGACTTACGGCTATCTCCTCCGAGATTCAGATTCTTAGTCTTTAGAGTGAAATTAAGTGACATTTTTCTATAGTTTGTTACAGAATTGAATGAAATATTATATAAATAGACACTGTATCTACTATGTCTTTTTACAAATTTTTGGAAAAAAGCTTCTTTATGTACAAGTAAAGTTATGATTGCAATTTGAAAACTAAAAAAATTTTACTCATACAGAATGTGTGACTATCAAGATGTATATTCTTCAAGTAAAATTTAATTTAATGCATGAAAATATATATAGTGTACTTTTCATGAGAGATTGTTCATAGTTTTCAAGGATTTGAGATTAGTTTGGAAAAAGAAGCAATACATTGTTTCACATATTCATTCAAATAATATTGTTAATAACTAAAATAGAATGTAGAGGTCATATCAAGAGTTTGTCAAGTCTGAGACCTTATAAGCTTTACCACACCCAGGTGTTAATAGACATTGAGATAGGGGGAGCTCATGGACCCCAGCATAGGACCGCCCCAGACTTCCTGGTAATGGATGTCAGTTAGGAGGCCTGGGCAATCTATGGGGCCTCTGGCAATAGGTCAGTATTTATCCCTGGTGTACAATTGGGCTTTGGGAGCCCATTCCGCATAGAGGGATACTCTCTCAGCCTAGACAGACGGGGAGGGTCCAGGACCTGCTCCAAATGATGACAGATTTTTTTAAGATCCCCCATAGAAGGCCTCACCCTCCCTGGGGAGCAGAAAGAGGGGGTGGGGGACAGGGGAGGAGGGGAGGGAGAGGGAACTGGGATCGACATGTAAAACAAGCTTGTTTCCAATTTAAATTAAAAAAGGAAAAAATAGACATTGAGGTTTGTAAAAACTGAGACTGCATCACAAGCATAACACCATAATTCAACTTAGATTTTTCTTTTTTTTTCTTTTTTTGCTGACATACCAATGTTTATTGACTACTAAAATAAATTCTAAATTATCAAGAAATTCTGCTTAAAAAACAACATGGTGATATGTATCTCACTGATGTAGTAAGAAAATGGCAGCAAGTAACCAGTTCTCATTCTGAACACCGCATGGACTCAAGGCCAGTGCATCTGCAGAAGATCTGCAATTCAAACATTGGTTACAGATTGTTCATACACAACAGAAGATCTGTAATTCAAACACTGATTACAGATCATTCACAGAGGCCAACTATGGCAAATCCAGCTCAGCCCAAAGCCTTTCTACTTAAGTCTGCTCTTACTAATGTGATGGTTGGGTATCAACCTAAGCTTAAAAAAATAGTTTTGATCGTGCATAATTAATATGTCACACAATTCAGGATAACATAGACTTCAATAAGTAGTTTCTTCCAAAAATATCACAATCCATATTTATTTATCAAAAGATGAAAGACACCCTATTGACAATACCAGTTTAGGAATAGAAAGTTCAGATCTAGGGACTCATGCCTTAAGATATATTATCTTCCTATCAATAAGTCATCATGCTATCCATAATATTAGTTATGAAACTTTGTCTAGTATTTGTTTACCATTTTTGAAGCTATTTCTAAAATGCTATCTTATTTGTAGCAGGTAGTATTTATTACAGGTTTATATTTAACAAGTGGAAGGAAGGAAAGAAGGAAGGAAGGAAGGAAGGAAGGAAGGAAGGGCTAGTGTACATAAGTACCTACATGATGCCCTTTTATTAGATGTCTTTTCCAGGGTGCTTATGTGCAGCAGATCCCTGCCACTCTCTCATGAACCACAAACACATGTTCTCCTGTTCTTTGTTGGCCTTGCTGCACCTCTATGATTTTCCCTGACTCTTTCAATAAAAGCATTCACCATGAATGACAGTTGTGGTATTATTGTCATTCAAAATTATATTCCTTAATGGTTCTCTGTTATGCTTTTCCATCTTCTTGTAGCTAACAGGCCCCATTCAAGTTATCCATCATGCAAAAGCATGTTGTGATGTCAAAGGAGGGAAGAATGAACTGAGCTTCAAGCAAGGGGAAGACATTGAAATAATCCGAATCACCGACAACCCAGAAGGAAAATGGCTGGGCAGAACTGCCAGGGGGTCATGTGAGTGCCTTTGCCAGGTTTCAAGGCTTCAAGGGCTTGTCTTTATCTGCCCCTCCCTCCCCCCACTTCATCCATCCATCCCTCTCTCTCCCCCCCCCTTTCTCTCTGTTGTTTCTTTATTGTTTTTTGGCTATTCTTTGAGATTTCATATAACATGTTTTTATCATATTCACCTTCCCTCCCCAAACTTTTCCCAGATTCAACATCTCTTTCCTTTTCAACCATCTTTGTGGGTTTTTTTCCTTTATCTTTTCCCCATAAATACCAATTTATGCTACCCAAATACTCTTGGATGTGTGGCCTTTCACTGGATTGTGGTCTATACCATGGGCTATACTCTTAGAGCAAACTGCCTTTTCCTTTCCAACAACTAATGGTGACTAGTCACTTCTTGGTTAAGGAGTGGAACTTCATGCCCAACTCCCCTCTTATGCTGGGATTTGATCTGGCTAGGTCTTGACAGGTCTTGTGAATACTGCCACAACTCCTGCCCTGCTGGGTCCAGAGGACAGTTTCCTTGTAATCGTCCACCACTTCTGGCTCTTACACTCTTTCTGCCCCTCTTCTGCAATATCCCTGAGGCTCTGGAGGAAAGAGTGCCATAAGTACCTTCCTTGTAAGATCAGGCATTCTGTGGTCTCTTACTCTCTGCAATTTTGCCTGTTGTGGATCTGTGCATTGATGAGCATCTGCAAACAGAAGCTTCTCTGATGAGAGTTGCATGATGCCTTAATCTACTGGGGGTAATTATAAGTCATTAGGACTTGGTTTAATACTATATCCTTTTGTCAGAATAATAGTAGTATGTTTTCTCAGAGAGTCTATGATCTGCCTAGCCATGTGTTCCTTTTGAATTAACATTAGATCCTTCCAGACCTACATGTCTCATGTTAGGAATTTGCTATTGATTAAGTAGAGAGAAAAAAAATCTAAAATGGCAACTGTAGTTCTTTTTAATGGGAAGCAATGTAAAATTTTACAAAGGTTATGTTCTCCATTTCTGTTAGAAGAAATGTGTCATGTGAATCACTTTAGAATCTTCAAATTGATTCTCAACTCACTTAAAAGTACCACAGAGTAATTCTCTGATGGAGCACATAAAACCTGTGGCTACACATGTCTGTAAGTCAAAATTGCAAGCAAAGACACCTTTTTAATGTTTAATGAAGTCTTTGGTTATGTGTATTGTGCATGCCTAGGTCTGCAACATGCATAGCCTGGGAACCAAACCCAGAGTTTTGGGCATGCTAGGCTCCATTCCCAGCCCTAAAGAGAAATATCCAAGAGCAGATGAACAATTGATATTTCAATTATAACTCTCAAGTGTTTAAGCTCCAATTATCTGGACCTCTTTTCCCTTTTGGTAGATGGTTACATTAAAACAACTGCTGTCGAGATTGACTATGATTCTCTGAAACGGAAGCAGAACACTCTCAATGCTGTTCCATCGAAACTTGTTGAAGATGACCAAGAAGTCTATGATGATGTGGCTGAGCAGGATGCTCCTAACAGGTGTGTGACACCCAGACTGTAAGCAGATCACTGTCCCCTTGCCAGACAGCATGTATTTCAAGATTCCACAATTTTACCTTCCATGTCACCTAATGCTCTCAATCACTAAACTAAATCACCCTAGTCTGAGTGGAAGACCAGGTGAAACTCCATTGTCTTTTATTCATTTGTTGGCTACACTCATCATGTTACTTGAAATATAATGGATTGTATAATTGTGTTAAACGTGATGTCCACTGCAAAGCACTTTTATAATATTTATTATGATTTGAAGTTAGGAACATGACAAAACTAGTATGATTTGGGAAGTTGTGAAGTAGTAAATGTAAGGTATAATCCCCCTTTTTCACTCTTAAATCTCTGAGTCTAAATGCATTTCCTGTCATTGCTTGAAAATATAACAGGAAAAAAATGGCTTCTACTTCAACTCCAGTATATTCCTTAAAAGCCAAATTTCAATCCTCTATGATCCCTAGATATTAACTAAAGGTCCACTTTGCATTGTCTATTTACTGCACTACATTGGTGTGGTGTTTCCTCCTAGAAAAATGACCACACTTTTGTGGATCAGAGTAACAAAACCAAAGCATGGTGTTTGCAGAAGGAAACAAAGGTGGCCATCTTCTCCCACATGCCTGCTTATTAGATTCTCATGACTAGACTGAAATACTTGAGACCTTTGACCTATAAAGAAGAAAGGTTTAAGAAACTCATATTCTATAGGTTCTAGTCTAAGATCAAGCCAAGTGCATATACTACATACAAATATAAATAAATTCACACTGTAGATGAAACTAGCATGTGGTAGCTCTGCTTCTAGCACATGACATTCCTAAGGCATGAGATGTGAGAATCCCCAAGAGGAAACATTTTCACTAGGAACATCAGCCATCCAGAATACAATTAATTCCAAGTATTGCCTCATGCATGGAAGCAGCAGAGAAAATAGATATGAATATGGCAAGTAGAGAGAATGTGCCCACTTCTTCACAAATCAATTCCTAGAGTATGATGTACCATGTCTTTCTACAAAGTTCCACTGACAACAGTATGCTTTTATTTCTAAGTTAACCAAAGATATGCATCAGACTAATTCCTCCCACTGGCTTGTAAAAGGAGTGTTAAAATTGAGTACCAGTATAGTTGATAATATCAAACTTATTCCTCTTGCTGGCACTTTACCCAAAGGCCATATGGGGTTGGAGTATAGCTAGGTTCAAAAAGCTAAATGCTTGAAGTTCTGGATTCTTTCATGCAAGATGGCAAAATTGAACAAATAGACAATGTCTAAGTTTTTCCAGTGCCCACACTTGGCTCTCACACGACTCATACAGGAAGATACAGGGTGGAACACATAACTATAAAAGCTAAAACAGAAAAAGTTTCTAACCGTTACAGAACTACGTTAAAAAAAAAAAAAAGGCAATCTGTGTTTAGAGAAGTAGGGGCCACACCTTATAAAAGTCCCATCAAGGTCACAACTTAAAAGTGTTAACTTAAAACACAGTGTAATGATATTAGATTAAGAGTTACATACAGTGGTTCTAAGATGCTGAAAAGAGTTGAATTGGATGCAATGATAATTGTCCTAATTGACTCCTAAAATAACACAGAGTAGTTTTAAAGCAATTATAAATATAATGTGTAATTACTGAAAATTGCTTCATGGGAAGTTTATTAAAAGAAAGCAGCATAATTGTTGTGAACTATATTACTATAACTCATTGGTTCTTGCTGGTTGTGTATTGGCTATATTATGTTCCCTTGTCACGATGTATCTACTACAATGAACATGCTTTTGCTCTTCATATATTTGATCCTAGTTTTAAATAGAATGCTAACTTTTATAGTCTTCTTAGTATTTGAATATCTCTTATTGAAATCTAATTAATTCATAATTTATTATTTCTGTTTTGTTCTTAGCCATGGTCAGAGTGGAAGCGGAGGTGAGACAAGTACTTTCTGTGTTTGTAGTCTTGAAAATGTTTCAGTTAATGACAAAACACTAGTTGGCTAACAGCAAGAGGGATTTTTTATATTTCTATACATTGAGGATTTAAAATATAATTTTGTTGGTCTATAGCCATTGCACATGGTACTGATTTCCATGAACATTTTTGTACAAGTACATAATGAACTTTATCATATTCCCCTGGCCTTTGCCTTTCCTCCCCTTCCTCTTCCCACCCCCTTGTCCCTTTGTTCCCCTAGACAGTTTCTCTTCTGCTTTCTTGTCATATATACATACATGATTTTATGTACTGTATAAAACCTAGGAACCAACAATGAAAGACTTAGTGGGATTTTAATTGGGGGGAAAAAGGTCTGACTTGGAGACTATAACCCAGATTCTAGCCCTGGTCACCAAGTGACTGTGAGGCAGTCACACCTGTCTTCCAGGTTTGCTGTGGATCCTAGTGTGACTCCACTCCCAGTGTGCCTGGGATAGTCTTGCTTTCTGCAGACTGTCTGAACATAGTTAAGAATAAACACCCCTCTTTGCTTCCAGAACTATCCCTGTCTAGATGGCAAACTATATGGCTACCTTGATGATGCCACCTAAAGACCCAGGCAGCAAAACCAAGAGCTCAAATTCTCACACTTGAAAGTTATATTTCAAGATCATTTTCCTGCACATAGAAGGTAGTCAACAAATACTTAAGTAGTTATGCATCACATAGCACAGTTCCTAAGAGCAAACATAGCAAATAAAACAAGAAAGGGTTTTAGTCTACTATATATGTACTAAAATGTGACCTTTCCTTTTGTAGTTTCTTTCAACTACTAGTAGTGTCTTCCATTCCATTTCATTTTCTTTATTGGTGTCTCTCTTTTTTTCATCAGTCTCATTACAGGAGAAGGGCATTTAAGGTACCCTCTCCACTATTGCTTAGATTCTTAGCTGGGGTCATTCTTTTGGATTCCTGGGAATTTCCCTAGTGCCAGGTTTCTCATTAACCCCATAAGGGCTCCCTCTATCAAGGTATCTCTTTCCTGGCTCTTCATTGTCTATTCACCATTAACTATATTTTTAAAAATTTTAATGATTTGTTTATCCTTTTTATGTACATTGATGCTTTGCTTACATGCACAGCTGTATGAGAGGGTGTCAGATTCCCTGGAACTGGAGTTACAGACAGTTGTGAGCTGCAATGTGGGTGCTGGGGACTGAACCCAGACCCTCTGCAAGAGCAGTCAGTGCTCTTAACCCACTGAGCCATCTCTCCGCTACCTCCTGACTTCTGTTTTTTTCCATGATAAATATCTAAAATTCTACTTCTTATTCTGTTTTACTTGCTCTGGTATTAATTCTCACATATTAATATGTTTTACATAAAAATCCAGAGTGCCCATCATCACTCATTTCTTTCTATGGCTTTGGCCCCAAAATGTTTTAAAATAATCAATAAAGCAACTGAATTATTAAGTGCCTATGTGATGCTGGAAAATTGTAAAGTTTTCTACTTGAATGGATAATCTGAAAGAGGGTTGCTGACTGCAGTCAAATAGGGGAGAATTAGTACCAAAACCAAAGTGACCTGTATTTCAGCAAATTGCAAAATTGACAAAAGGTTTCCTTCCTAACCCATATGAAGGTATGTTCCCACCACCACCAGATGATGACATTTATGATGGGATAGAAGAGGAAGATGCTGGTGATGGGTAAGAATAATCATTGAATTGCCTTTTCCTCTTGCAAAAGATTACATATATGGAAATTTAGTTTTCATTTCCAGATAAAATAAAAAGTAGAAAATATTCTTCTTATTCAAAAAGTAGAAAATACTATTCTTATTCAATCCTAAAATTATGTCAAAGTTTAAGTGACAGTAAGGGTAAGTCAAGAAGGATAATTGTATCACACTGCAAATGAAATGGTAGATTGGAAAAAAATCCTCATTATATGGAAAAACTGAAATGAAAGGGGGACAAATTACAAGTGTTGTGGATGTTTTAAAAAAACACTTTCCAATCATTTATCTATTAATCAATAGTTTACTTTTACAACCATCTCTGGAGTTTATCAGTTACATGGCTGGGATGTTTTTTAAATAATAACATGATTATAGCTGGATGACAAGGCTCACACCTGTAATTCTAGCACTCTAGAAACTTAAAACAGATGGATCACTTGAGCCAGGAGGTCAAGGCCAGTCTGAGCTGCTTAGTAAACCCCAGGCCAACCTGGGCTACAGAGTTAGGTCCTGTTTTAAGTTAATTGAGACCATTTGATATCTGTGGTAGTTTTATAGCGGAACTGATATTGCATAGTTAATGCTTTGCTTAATAATAAATACCTTTATTTTTGTAATAATAATTTTTTGTTTGTTTTTGTTTTTCAAGACAGGGTTTCTCTGTGTAGCTTTGGAGCCTTTCCTGGTACTCGCTCTGGAGACCAGGCTGGCCTCGAACTCACAGAGATCCGCCTGCCTCTGCCTCCCAAGTGCTGGGATTAAAGGCATGCTCCACCAACGCCTGGCTGTAATAATAATTTATAAAATCTTTTAAGTTAATAAATTTTCTTTCCATTTTAAAACAGAATATTTAAGATCAAGTAATTATTTTACTTTAATCATAAACAATACCAAGTAGACATTTTAAACTTTATTCTAACTGACTTAACCTAGCTTTATGTTTTTGGAACCTAGGCAAATATTGAGTAAGTGAAAAGTGGCCAGCCTGGTGAAAGAAATATGCACTCACCAGAATTTGTACTTAGCAGCACTATATTATTGGCTACAATGACTGGTCACTGGTCAGCATAGTTAATTATTTAAACTCTGAATGTCCACACAATGTCTGCTGATTGTTACATTCTGATCAATGCTTGATGCTCCAAAGATCCATGCTGCAGGTTGAAGAGAAGACCAGCACGTGGTCCTGGGGGATTTTGAAGATGTTAAAGGGAAAAGATGACAGAAAGAAAAGTATTCGAGAGAAACCTAAAGTCTCTGATTCAGACAGTAATGAAGGTTTATCGTAAGAGTCAACTGACCACCTTCAGTGCACAATAACTACACTAATATTGGTTTAGTTGAATGCTACTAATATTCTATAACCAATAAGCAAACCCTGATAAACTGACACCACTTTACTGTTATTTTCCATTAATCACCTTACAGTCATCTCATATATGTGTTAATTACATCAGAGGACCCCAGTTATTCCAAAATTAGCGTGTAACTCTAAGAAACACTTTACTCTCCCTGCAAACTTGCATAAAGATACGCACACACACACGCACACACTCACATACTCAAGCACACACAGTCATTCAGTAGGATTTCTCTCATCTGTACAGTCCCATCTAAAACTGTACTATTCTGATGGCAGCCTACATTTTACATTATTCTGACTACTTTTAAAACTCATTATTCTCTATTAAAAGTTAATCTGTTAAAATATAGGACATAATTTAGAATTTCTCTGAATGTAATATTGGAATTTTTATAACTGTTCTTAATTACATACCTATATAGACTTATTGTCAGTATTTCAAATTTGTCTAATTAATAAATTTTCTCTTCCCATACAGCCTCAAAAGAGCCCCTTAGCATAAATTCCATGTACATAAATTTGAAGGATCTTAATCATGTTCAGAAGAGCCTTTATGTTTTCCTTTTTTAATGTGTTCATCACATTTAACTGAAATCCTTGTAAGTTGTTTTCACACCAGCATTCCTAATTTGATCTTTTTTTTGTAGAGCACCAGAATAGCTGTCAATAAATGGTACATTTACAATTTTGAGTATACATAATAGGAAGTCTTCTCCTGAGCAAATATAGCCTTTACATGGGGGTAAAGGAAGAGGCATTTTTTGCCTTGTTTTCACATTACCAAACTCTGATTTGGGGTTATTTGAGCAAATGTCTTCATCTTCAACTTTAACCAGTCATTCCTGTGCTATACATGAATCTTTCAGAAGTGTGTGTGTGTGTGTGTGTGTGTGTGTGTGTGTGTGTGTTTATGTGTATTTGTGCCTCTCTATGTATGTATTTGTGCCTCTCTCTGTGTATTTGTTCCTCTCTCTTTCTCTCTCTCTCTCTCTCTCTCTCTCTCTCTCTCTCTCTGTGTGTGTGTGTGTGTGTGTGTGTGTGTGGGTGTGTGGAGCTGTCATAGTTCAGATAATAATAAAAACAAAGTCCTTTTCTGCTACAACTAAATACCACCTAATCTTGGTTCCCTCCCACCCCTGTCCATAAGCTCTCACTGTCTAGTTTAAGTGTACATTCCTTTCTTATTCATCATTTTCCCATGTGGTGTAGATATGTACATACCACAGAAATGTGCTCATATGCCAATGACTGCTGTTGATTTTGACTCTGTAATTTCAGTCCTCAATTCAAATAAACAGTTTGGGCTAGATCTATGGATATCAGGAGGCTCCAAAACACTAAGCCCATTTATCATACTCTGGTGTGATAATACACCCAAACTTTAGAGAAAATCTGAAATATTGGTCTAGTGACTGGGTGACATAAACTATCATCACTCTTGACTATTTTTGAACAACAAAACTAGTTCAAAACTAGTCTCAATAAATTCCAAATTGGTGGCTAGAAATCAGTGGGAAATGGAGGATAAGAAAGGAATAATGATCAACAGATTAACCCATTTCACACCTCTAGAATATTGCTTTTCACGCCTCTCTCATGTAAAGGAATTAATTTCAAGGTTCGTGTTACTCAGATTTTAACTATATTCTCATTTTTTTCAGTTTCCCTTCTCCTCCCAAAGAACTGGGTAAGTAATAAAAACTAATTGTGTATTTTACAAATTATTTCTTACACATGAGGTAGTGGGAAGCGTTGAATGTCATCAAGCATGGAATGTGCTTGCTTTAAGTCCTTACTGCAAACAATAAATATGTCACATGGCACAAGCAATTTCACCCTGGATGATTCCAATGACTCAAGGATAGAATAACAGAATCATAAAAATAAAAAAGGTTCATTTATCAGATACTTCCCATTGTTGTGATAAAACACCATAATATTCCTCCCCAAAGCAGCATGGTCAGGCCTGTCATAGCAGTAGGCGACTCCTTGGTACCAACTTCTGTATTACCAACTTTTCTGTTACTATGATACACCTTGATGAAGGCATGGTGGCAGGAACAGGAACATGAGGGCTCACACCTTGAACCTCAAGCATCAACAGAGAATGAAATGGTAATGGTGCATTTTCAACTCTCAAAGCCACCTCTAGTGACAAACATCACCAAGGCCATACCAGCAAACTCTGCCCCAAACATCACCACCAACTGGGGACCATAAGGTACTTCTATTCAGAACAGCACAGACAGCTTCAAAGTATTAATCTGAAAGCTACTGTGACACAGAGATAAGAGGAAAGCGATGGATACCAGTGTCAGCTGGCCCCGCCCCCATTCAGTCCATGCTTAATATATACAACTCATGCATATAAATATGTAAAAATATGCAAAAGACACACAACCAGATACTTTCAGGTATTCTCTCTTTAACTCGTTGGGCGAAAATGGGGTAACAGTGTCTTCTTTTTACAATTTCAATGGTCTCTTTGAAAACCTTACTGGGACAGATCTTTTCAAAATTTGTTAAAAGTTTCTCTGAATCAAATAAAATGTTGTCTCCAAAAATATTGAAGGGCTTTTAAAGAGTCTACCTATTTAAATTCATAAATATTCTTGTAAGAGAGCTGGTGATGGTGGCACACACTTTTAATTACAGCACTTGGGAGGCAGAGGCAGGCAGATTTCTGAGTTTGAGGCCAGCCTGGTCTATAGAGCAAGTTCAAGGACAACCAAGTCTACCCAGTGAAACCCTGTCTCAAAAAGAGAAAGAGCGGGAAAGGAAGAGAGAGAGGGGGAAGGAGGAAGAGGGGGAGGGGGGAAGGGTGAGAAAAGGAGGGAGAGAGGGAGGGAGGGGAAGAGTGTCAAGCTAGAGGTGTGGCTCAGTTAGTAGCACTGAGTTTGATCCCCAGCACTGCACAAGCTAGGATTGGGGCCATTCTCATCCAGTCCACCATTCCAGTCATGGCTAGTTTTCTATCTGTTGTTTCCCATCACTTGATATTTATATATATTATTTGCAAAAATAAGATTTTCCTTTGAAGGCAGTACAATCATATTATCACTGTAGAGTATAAATTAATATGGAACAAATCAGTAAAAGAAGATGGTGGATGATAGATGATACACATAACTAGATGGATGACTGGATAGATAGATAGATAGATAGATAGATAGATAGATAGATAGATAGATAGTAGAGATAGGAGACTGACACAAACAGATATACAAAAGGATGAATGGCGTAGCACTCCATATTATGTAAGAATTTCTGTCTACTTCCTACTGCCAATAGCCAAGAGAGTTGATTTCTTTGTCCACTGTTTTTAAATCCCACCATTCACCCATTGATTACACTTGGAAATTTTTATAGTCACATCACTATTCAAGGATTGGGTTCCCCCCCCCCCCGGACAAATAATGATAGTTGTAATCATATTCACTAGTTTCCATCGTTTCTTTGTTTACTTATTGATTGTTTAAAGTTGAATGCTCACACCCAGGAAGGCAAGAACCCCCCTCCGTCCTTCCTTTCTTTGAGAAGCAGACAATGTCTTTAATAGAAATGTATACAGTCCCTGAGAAATCTCTTACTGCCTATGAAGCAGTCTTCAGTTTTGAATGCACATATCAAAACTTAAATTAGCAACATTTCAATATTTCATATTCCGTCTTTTATTAGATGCAGGAGAAGAGGTTTATGATGACGTGGATGCCTCAGACTTCCCTGCTCCACCTGCAGAGATGAGGTCAGTACAATGCTTTCATTCCGATGAAGTGTTGACAAGGAGACTGCTCAACAACACTGAGCTGGATTAAAACTCAGCGTGCTGTATGTGTGCTGTGTGCAATCATGTGGTCTCTGCCCTGCTTTGCTAAAGCTGTGCTCCTTTCTGATCACAGTTCTCACCTCACAGCCAAGTTTGTTAGCAAGTTATCTTAACTCTCCCTCTTCTCACCTTACACATCTTTTCTCCTGACTCTAGACACTGGTTCTGCCCCTTGTTCCCTGACTAATCTCTGCTGCTTGCTGGTGACTCAGGACTGTCTGTGTTCACTCATTTACTGGGAATGTATACTTGAGATTCTGTTCACAAGCAATTTCAGTGATTCATCTCTCTTATTTTTACCATTTCCCCCAACTTTTCCCCCCTCAAACACACTTCCTTTCTATCTCAGCCCTCATCTTTCTTCTTCCCTGTCCTCCGCCAATGTTTTTTTTTTGTGTGTGTGAAAAATAACAGAATATGCTGCTTAGAAGGACTTTCATGTATGTCCTTTTTTGTTCACAAACCCATTGAAGTCTCAAAAGTTTTATGCAAATTTATCTTATAAGTTAACAGTGAACAATAACTTCAGTTTATCTGAGGCATGCATTTCTTTAACTTTAAGGTTAAAAGTATATGAAAAGTAGTTAAAATCAATTTAGCAAAAAAGAACACCTTTTGAAAATTCTTCTGAGTTAGAATATATTGTACTAAAATACCTGCTCATTTTCAATAGCTATGTGAGATGACCTGTGTACAAAAGATAGAAAACTCCAGCAATGCGCTCAAGAAAGAGATAAATGAAATAAATGGTATACTTGGTTAGTTAAGGACAGAACTATCATTAGTGACTCGAGTCATGCTTGATGAGCTGTCCTTAAGAATGCACGAGAGAATGTCAAGTATTTAGTCTTACCACATTAAGTCAATTTTACTGAACTACAAACAGTAAAAGAAGATGAAGGCAAAATATGCTGATGCTCACAAAGGAAGATCAAGTTCTATAGGCAAAACAAGCAAGAAAAATGAAAGAATGCTTGCCTCCCTTTTAGTTGACTTCGAAAGGAAAATCTACCCTTGGTAAATTATTCATTTTAATATTCCCCACCACCAGGACATTGTGCCTATCTTTAGTGTGTTTTAATACATTTTTTCTGTTTTGAATTGCTCTAGAAACATCCCCACATTCCATTAGCTAGCTCTCTGGGAACCCAGAATCACATCCTGGCCCTTTCTTGGAGCAAAACAAACTCCAGCTGATTAAACTTGATCAGAGATGACCATTTTTTTTCTTACTCATTGCTTATTTTCAGAAGTTAAAATAATTCTACATTTTTAAACATGGTATTTTATTTTGGAATAAGTTATTTTCAGAAATAGCTTGTGGGGCATTTTCAGCATTCATTCATGCTCTGATCATCCCAGAGAGCTAATCTGGGCCAGCAATTTCACCAATGCCCAGACAATGAAAGGTCCTGGGGAATGATGAAAGACCAAAGTGGGTAATGGCCCTCATTCTTTTCACAGTGAACAAGATAAATGCTAAAAATAAAAAAGCAAACATTTTAAAGAAGTCACAAGCAATTGTTTCTAGATAATCACAATGAAAATTAATATCGGTGTCAAGTTTTTACTATTCACTAATATTCTAGTACTTAAAAAACAAAACAAAACAAAAAACAACTCCCTTCTACAGGGGTTCACACTTCACTTCTTCCCACTCTGTATTGAACTTTCATTTTCCAATGAGCAATTTAATGGAATGGCCAAGGTAAAGATTGACTATTAACTATTATCTTTAAGATGCTCCCTCATGATTTTGAAAATAGTAATCTTACTATAAAGCTTTTCATTAACCAATACTTCCTGTGCTCCTTGCTGTCTCCATTTATTTCTCTGTATTATTTCTCTGCTGGAAATCGAGTCTAGGGTGTGGTATGTGAATGCTCTGCCACTGAAACCCATCTCTTGCCTCATAGCTCCATTTTAATTAGATGTTAAAATATTAAGATGGATAAATTTTAGAAGACATACAACTCAGTTCCTTAAAAAAAGCATTTTTGAGCCTTTTTAATAACATCATCTCTGCCATTCAATTTTCTAGAAAGAACTAGAAAATGTACATGCAGTCATATTTCATCTTGTTCAGGTTTATTATTGGTTCAGTAGGTCCTTTTACTTACAGTTTAAATTGTGTGTTGTATTATTCAATCATGAACCCCTTCTATATGTCAGAAATCCATAATTGATATAATGCCCAGTAATAAATTAAAACAACACTGAACAAAAATGTATTATTACATACTGGGCATGGTGGCACACACCTTTAGTCCCAGCAATTGGAAGGCAGAAGCAGGTGGATCTCTGTGAGTTTAAGGCCAGCCTGGCCTACATAACAAGTTCCAGTGTATATTTTAAGGCCCTGTCATACACACACACACCACCTTGAAAATTTTTTTTATTATTTTTTAAGGATTTATTTATTTATTTATTAGTTCTAGTTAGGGAACAAGCTTGTTTCACATGTAAGTCCCTTCTCCCTCTCCCTCCCCTCCCCCCCCTTTCCTTTGGTTTTTTTATTCTCTTTTTTTTGACACG